AATTAACGTTAATTGATACTGCGGCTTATAATCCGGTGCGGCTTTTGGTCGTGAAAATACGGTATACTATTTTTTCTTTGTATTTTATACTTTGATAAATTAATAAAAAGTTAAATCTCAAAAAAGCTACAATGTATTACTCACATCTTGAGCAAATCAAAACCAGAGTATTTAATAAGTTTATACTGAACAGCCTACTCAAACCTCTAGTATTCTGGAAGGATCATCAGAATCCATAATTTTCTGTAACTATTGTTTGATACATGGTCAATTGTTAAAAAGCATGTGCTATATTCATATCTGAGCTGTTGTTATTTTACTCCTACCATGTAATTGATTTCCTGTTTGCCTGGCAGTTTTCTAGGACAGGGGTCCACTACTGGGCCTTGAGCCTTTGAAACCAGGCCACAAATGTTCCACAAGCAGTGGGCAAGTACATGTGCTCCATTTGCACGAGGGGCCGGCACATATGCCCACCGCTGTCACAAGTGGAGCTAAGTGTACATGCTTACTTGCCCAACACTCATGTAAAACCATCCCCTCTTCCTCCCCCCCCCCCAGTTTGCAAAGACGGAGAGTGGAGGGAACTCTGTTCTAGAAGACTAAGCAAACAACAGCAAGGATGAAATGGTGACATGAGTATATGAAAGAAAGAATGTACACAATTCAATACACAGTCTACTGAGACAAAACCATAGTCAAAAAATAAAAATGAGTTCTCAGAGTATACAAAATATCAATTTCTTTCACATACTGAAGAATATTTAACAAACAATACAAATTTTATTAGCAGCACAAGAAGAGAATAACAAATTATCTTCACCTCTTTTTTGTTTTAATTGGGATTTCACAAAAATGAAGACTAACTTAGTTGCTTGAATTTAGCTGTACTGAATCATACTCTAATACCCAAAAGCAAAACTGCACCTAGAGTAACTAACCAATGCCTCACCTCAATGAAACTCATAGCACGTTACTTAATCTGTAGTGCAGAAGGGAGGCCTTAAACTTAATGCCTGGTGTTGAATATCACATCTTTATAGCTAGATCCAAAAACTGATAGATTGTTCAAACTAAAAAGAGATAATCTTTTACTATTATTTTAAAATTTTCATGACATTACCAGAAATCTAACAATAAATGGCATTTAATATCACTTGTTGTAAACAATATGAGATTATAATTTTTGGAGCCCTGAATTGATAAGAAAATAATAAACTGAGGATACATTGTTTAGTTAACCTATTAGGCCCAGTGAATCTAATGGACTGACTTCTCAATCAACATGCATATGATGATTTTTTTAGTTTATGTTCAAACAGAACTTGTGTTACCTCGTCAGTTGATGTAAATAAGTCCTTCTTGCATGCAAGGAATGTTCTCCATTCAAAATAATGAACACACTCAAATGAAGTCACAAATTCTGGGGAACCCTGATTAAAAAAAGTTATGCACCATACTGATCAATTTGTATTTGTATTTGTAATTACAATTAAAACCTAAATAATAATAATAATAATAATAATAATAATAATAATAATAATAATAATAATAATAATAATAATAATAATAATAAACAAAAATAC